ATAATGTCCTGAGAGTGCACGCTGTAGCTGCACTCACGCAGAGACATGTAGGAGGAGATGTATCAAGGCAGCAGACCAAGAAGTGATTTAAAGATGAAAATGTACCAGTGAGAGAGTCTGCGTGAAGTTAATGATGACCAGTTAACCAGTGAATACTGGGTGCAGTGGTGGGTACGATAGTTGCAGCCAGTTATGAATCTTAGTGCACCGTGATAGACAGCATCCAACACCTGCAGAGTTCTTGTAGGTAAAATGGACTGAGCTGTTTTTGTGTTTTATAAAAACAATTGGCTTTGGTGGCCATTTTGAATTGTTGTGACCCTAAAAGTGGATCAACTGTATACACACATCTAATGAATACTGACTAAATGCTCTTTAAAAACTGTTCAGTGGTTCAGGTGGTACTTTACTTAATGCTGTCCACCTTTGGACGTTCAGCAGTGGGAAACAAAACCAAAACAAACAAACAAACAAAAAAAAACGCATTTGAAGGACTTTTCTGTCTGTGATTTTAAACTTTTCCAACGAGATGAGTCACAGTTAATTTCACACCTAATTAAGTACTCTGGCAGTAAATGGATCAGAAGTAAAGTTTTTAGCTGTAGGGATGATTTGTTTTGAAATGAGGCCGGAGACTGATGTGCGCGCACAGCTGGAAATGGCTCTTTTCAGTCGATGGCGGCTTCTGAAAGCAACACAGCAGGTAACGTGCACTGCGAATAAAAACTAATAACAAAGTGGGAAAATGAGAAAAATATCCTGATCCACAGTTAATTATTGTTGTTGCTTCACAGTCGTGACAATTTATGACTCTAAAGGTCACGACTTGGACAGAAATATATCCCAAAAATGTTTTTAATGTACCTTTTTTTTTTTTTTTTCACAAAATAAGCAAATTCAAGTAAAACTGATAATGGGTGGGCTTGTAAAGGTCTGATAGATGGATTTGTGTTGCCTCAGACTTTAAACCAAATTAAACTGCTACTATAAAAAACAATTATCACAAATATAAATATTTTCTCTGATAGAAGTGGCTTGTTGTCACCACAACTGTTGTTCCACCATGTTTGAGGTATTTCAATGCATGTTTGGTATTATTGTCGATTAAATGTACAGGAACAGTGAAAAGAGGTTATGAACAATAAACGTCTTACATGTTGCAGGTAGAAGTCAGTTTGAGGTAGAGTTGCCTTCTGATGGGGAGGAGAAGCTAATGGCTAGAGTCTTAACAGAGCCAAGATCAGAAAGGACTGATTTAACTGTCTGACTTATTAAGTTCACTTAAAATTGAGTCCAGTTTTAAAAATGTCACAGATGTTAATGTGAATGCTATTTTACAAACCATTACACTTTGGTCAGTTTTACAGTACATTGTTTTTCTGCCAGAAATACAATGCTAGTTTTTACCATAAGTACAAACAGCACAAGAAGCGCTCTGAAACAAAAGAGTCATTTTAAAAAGACAGCAATCCATTTTAAACTTAGCCTCATTCAGTCCGGTCTAAATTTAACCGTTTTTTCTAAGTGAGGTCATTCAAGGAGCTGTCTACTGCAGATAAGATACTAATTGCTAATAACCGTTGTGCAGAAACACTCTAAAAGATCTGAATTGTCCTTAAAAAAACCCATAAAAACAAATACAGTGTGCTGAAGTCTGTTGAGCGCGAACTGGTTTTACATGAGCGCTGCGACGGCTTACATAAAATTACTAAGAAAAATTGGTTTCTTGAAGGGGTGTCCCATTTTGTAGTGGAACAACTGAACCATTGCCCTCCTGTGACTTTTAAAGGTAACACTAGAAAATGTAAAGTGACCTTTATCTTCGTCTTTTCTAAGCAAACACATTTCAGCAGATTGTTATTTAATCTCATCTCTAAGAGTCAGTTTAAGTCTAAGTGACCATGTTCTGTCATTTATCTGTCTTTCACAAACCGCAGAGCTCCCCGCTACAAAAACCAAGCTCTCATTTCCCTCCCTGCTCCGAGCTCCCAGAGGTCTCCCTGCTCAACATAACGAAGCTTAGACGGCCTAACGCTCAGTGTTTCCACATTTTGTGTGCGGAGCGTGCTGCATATTGTTAACTTTGGCTTCCCTGGTGGGGAGGACCAAAGATGCCCTCCTCTCCCCTCTCGTGTCTCTCTGTTCTCTGGTTTCTTCCACCACGAGTTGGAACAACAATAACATCATGGAGGAGCCATTGATCAGACACCACAGCTGCGCTGACAGGAGCTCTGCTTGAGCATACATTTACTTCTCTGGCACCAAATATCACTGTGACATATGTTAAACTCATCTGAACGTATCTTGATTGGAATTATTCATTCCATATGTTGAGAGCCTTTGTCTTACCCAACGTTGACAGTTGAAGATGAGGTAATCTCCTCCATCTTAACTCCTAAACTTAAAGAAAAGGCACTTTCTGTGAAAGTGCTGAATTATTTTAAAGGAAGATGCTGAAAGAGCTGAAACTGAGTTTTAAAGCTAACAGGAGCAGAACACTCGCTAAAAGCTTTAGGGGAAAATGCTAGCTAAAAAGTGTACAACACAGGTTAAAAGCTGAAAATATGAAAATACTAGTTCAGAGGTAAATGTAGTAAAATGCTAGTTAAATGTAAAAGGAGATAAACTTGCTGAAAGGAAAAAGTAGCAAAACGCTAAAAGCTAAAAGTGGCCAAAAAAAAGCAAAAAGTTGCAAAATACCTAAAATGTAAAAAAAGTAAAATATCTGAAACAAGCAAATGTTTTGCTGAAAGCCAAATATAATAATAGCAATGTTAGTAATACGCTAGCTAAAAGCTACAAGGAGACAAGTTCTAGCTAAAAGCTACAAAGAGCTAAATGAAAGTTAAAAGCTAAAAAAAGCAAAACGCTAGCTTCTAGCTGAAAGTAGTAAAATTCTACCAGTGTTGTAAAACGCTGACTGAATGTAGCAAAACAAGCTTAAATGTAAAAACAGCAACACTATTAAATACAAAAGTACATAAAACTAGCTAAGAAGTGCAAAACGCCATCTAAAATGTAAAAGTAACAAAAAATAATCTGAAAGTCCAAAGTAGCCAAATGTTAGCTAACAGTAGGAAAATACTAACTAGAACCAAAACGTAGCAAAATGTTGATTAAAAGTGGCAAAATATTGCAAAATCTAGATAGCTGCTCTAAAAGAGCAACGAGCTAAATAAAAACTGAGTTGAAATTACTAGCTAAAACTAAATGCTAGCTTAAAGCTAATGTTAGTAAAGTTCTTGCTAAAAGTAGCAAACTAGAAAAAATTTAAAAGAAGCAAAATATTTTAAAAACTAAAAATAAATAAATATAATAAATAAATAAAACTAGCTAAAAGCTGCATGATGCTACTTAAAACATAAAAGTAGAAAAAAGTTGTCTAAAAGTAGAAATAAAAAAAAGGCAGCCAAAAGCTGAAATGGCAAAACAGCAGCTAATATTTGCAAATTGCTTGCTTAAAGCTAAAGGAGTAAAATAATAACAAAATGTAGCTAAACTTTAGCTCAAAGTAGCAAAATTTGTTTAAAGCCAAAAGTAGCAAGCCAAAAAAAAAAAAAAAGCAAAATGCTAACTAAAAGCTAAAGGAGACATAAGAAGACAAAACTAAAGCCAATATGTTGAAGCGATTTTCAAAGAAAACGTTTTTTGAAGGAATTAGAGCTCAATGTACTTTCATGGGGGTGACTTACATTAATAAAATTAAATGCTATAAAAGTTTAAAAGCGACAAATACTGAAACTTCAAAAACGAACAGAAGAAAAAAGGAATAAAGGGAAACCGGATCACTATACTGTGAATACTGAATCAGCAAGTCTTTTCACTGAATATTTCTCTTTATTGTAAAACATTGAAGCAACTGAGTAGCTATAGATGGATTTATTTCCACTTTTTCTTTTTCACTCCTGCAGCACAAAATCCATCACTTTTTCCCCTCCTTTTCATTACACCGAGGTACAGTAGATCAAAGCGCTGCTCGAGCTGCAAAGTTTTATCGCCCCACGCCTACCTTTCTCTTTTGTTCATTCATTTCCCGCAGATATCATCTGGTTCCCTCAGAATTGTGTCCTTCTTGGCTGCCGACTTCGGCAGTCTTAAAAAAAATTACCCACAGAGCCCATAAAATGAGAGGTTATCAAAGTTGTTCGCCGTTGAACGGCAATAAATTGGCATTGACATTTTGAGTACACTGCTTCCACTTTCAGCTGCTGGTCTATGAGTTACATTTTGTTTTCAAATCTAACAGTATTCAGAAACAGAGAGGGGAAAAATGGAAACTCCTCCAGTGTATAATACATCAAAGTTTTCAGGGATGATTGTCTCGGATCAGCACTTGTGTGACCACTTTTTGGCAATCTCTGAAGAATCCCTGTTCGTTTCCCAGAAATGTTAAGAAGCTGAATCAAGATTTTCACATAATCTTTTTGTTCAAATCAATAAGTGCCTTCAGATATGGTTTAAAACAAGTTGGAAGTGAAAAGAGGTCCGTGTTTTCAGGAGATGGTAAAATTAAAACAAGGCTGCAGTCTGCTTTGAGATAACAGCAAAGGCGGCACGCCGGGATTCGGATAAGAAGCAGAATACCTCTCGACGTGATGTCAGGACTCATACAAGACGAGCTCTAACTGAAAATAAAAGCTTTCTGGACAGAAACATAAATCTGTTTAGTGAAGCTCGGTTCTGCCTTTTGTTGAGAATGGATCCCAATTTGACAAGCTGTCTCGATGACAAATGGTCTCCCCTCGTTTAGCGTCAGCGTAGCTTCAAAATTAAGTTTGTATAAAGCAAAATGACAAATCAAACATCAGGATGATTGCTGCTGTGCGGCCCGGTGTTACATGACCTCAGCTGCCTCTGGTGGTCTTCGCAGACCTCCGCTCAGATGGCGAACATTAACACTGAGTAATGTTTCTTGGCCATGGCCTGACTTGTCTACCGTTTCTCTGAGTGGGTTCCAAGATACCAACAAAGAGGAAAAAAAAGTCAAATAATTTACATACCTTCTCCCCCATGTCACCTTTGGGTCCGTCTTCTCCCATATCGCCCTAAGATGAGATCACAAGTAATCATATTCGGGCTTTAAAATGCAGGAATGAAACATGGCTGAAAAACAAAGCGTTTAAAGATCATTGTTTCAGCAGACTCACAGCAGGGCACGTTCTCTGTCTGCCATGTGAAACAGTGTAATGGATGGTGGAAGAAAAAGCAAAGTGCACTGCAGCCAGAATTAAGTAGCATTACCGTGCATTAGCTTGGTAATGGTCCTTTATCTTTGTGTCACCACGTGTTTCAAGTAGGACTATTTTCAAGTGATGCAATGCTTTACGTGGGGTAGTTGTGGAGGCCCTAAGCTCTTGGCTTCAACGGTTTAATTCACAACATTTGTATTTTGGCCAAGAGAACCCCACATTTTCTTGACGTCAGTGCCATTTCTGACCAAGTTTGGGATGTAGCTAGATGCCAGTTTCATTGGACTTTTCTTTTTGGGTAGACCTAGAAAGGAAATATCTTGAAGTACACTGAAATATTGTAGCACCGTTCAGGTTTCTTATACATGTTATGGCAAAGATTCTAGCAATCCCATTTCTTTGTGTGTGCACAACCATCATTTGTGGTGGAAAAACATGGACTTCACACAACGGCCGCATTGGGGTCTCAAAAAAAAAAAAAAAGGCGAATGTCAAATCACCTTTCACCTACGTTCTGTCTCATTTGACATCCAATGCAACTGTACAAGTCCAAGAGAAAGTTACTGTACAAGACAGAGTTCATTTTGGGGTTGAAAAGACATCTACAATGTTCAGACATCTAGGCTAGATTTGGTCTAAAGGTGAAAGTTTACTAGACGTGCAAGCCTAGTTTAAGGTACCAAAGGCAACACTAACCAAGTGTTACCACAGTGTGATTAGGCCTCAAGAACTGTTTTACAGACACTTCGGAACCATCCTAGAAGTTGCACTGTTACACTTTTTGTACGCAATTTAGTTCCAAGTTGCAATGTGAAGTTCTTCCTGGATATTTCTGTTTTTCAAAGCTCTATTTTGTTTTCTGCAATGTCACCTACTGTAAATATTATATAACATAAAGTCTCAAAACACTCAAAATCCATCCATCTTCCACTTGTTCTGGTGTCAGGTCATGGGGGCAGCAGCTTAAGCAGGGAGACCCAGACATCTCTTTCCCCAGCCACCCCCTCAGCGAGACTTGATGTTATCAATTACTTAATTATTATTCTGTTTTCATCTGCCACTAACAATATTGTTCTTTCAAATGCTCCCTTCTTCAGGGTTAGCCACAGTGAGCGGATTTGCATGAAAGATCTGACAATTATTTTACACCAGATATCGTTCTTGACGCAATCTGGGATCAAACTTGCAAACTCAGGACTACAAGACCGCAGCATTGACCACTGATCTACCATCATCTGCCAACAATATGCAAATATCAATATACATTTTTAGTATTAGTCTGTAAGCTATTGTGTTTTTGCTAACTCTCAACTCAAGAAAGAGATTTTTTGATTAAAAAATAAATGCAACAACTGAAAAGTCTAAAAATGGTCAAACTCTGAATTAAAGTTAAATTAAGTAAAGTTCTGGGTTAAAGTTCTAGTTCAGAATCTCTACAGTTCTTTAATGATGTGAAGATTTTATTTGTATGTCCTACATATTGTCAGTTGTTTGTGAGGTAAATAAATGACAATTTTGCAGTCCATATTTACCTGGAGACACAAGATTGAAATTGTTGCTCGTTGGGTTCTAATTAAATCCTTTTCAGCAAACACTTTTTACTGACAGTTTTTTAATTTTTTGCTACTTTTCAAGTGTTTTTTTTAAACCAACAAAGTTAATTTAGTAAAGACTTATTTACATTCAGAAAAAAAAAAAAAGTTAAACCAGGGTGTTCCTTATGCTTGAGCCACTATGTGATTAGCTACATGGTGTGCTAGCCTGCAAACCTGTTTACAATTATTTTCATATAACTTATTGACTGATATATTTTTAAATTTAATAAAAAAAAAATCCATGCTTAAAACAAACTTATTTCAACAAAATATGTAAATATCTACTGCTATGAGTCAACTGTTGGTATGTTAATTAGCTAAAATAATGTTAGTGTAGATTATTCTGTTTTGTTTTAAGGCAATCAAACTTTATATTTTTTAAGACTTTTTTCCTTCTCCTAAAAAGTTACGATGGAGCTTTAGGGCCATGCTAAAAAAAAAAAAACATTACGAACAAGAATAAAGTTATAGTATTATGAGAATAAACTCGTATGACAATAAAGTCATAATTTATGAGAATAAAGTCAAAATAATATGAGAATTTTTTTTGTATTTTGAGAATAAAGTAGAAACAATATGAGAATAACGTTATAATTTTATGAGAATAAACTTGTAATATTACCAGAATAAAGTCGTAATATTATCAGAATTCCGACACGATAAAGCAGTCTTACAACTGCGGTAAAATGATGAATGTTGATGTCGGCAGTACAACAGCAGGGGCCCAACGCACTGTGGCATATGGATTCTTATGATAAACTGAAGCCGTATGGCATTGCAATTAATGGCTGCATTGACGGATTTAGTCGTCACATAATGTGGATGGAGGCATATTTCACAAACTGTGACCCGAAAGTGATCGCGGACTACTTCATAAACACGACTCGCATTGGATGCTGTCCTCAGCAGGTGCGAGCCGACCCAGGGCATATTACGAGTTTATTCAAGTAATATTACAACTTCGTTCTCGTAAAATTATGACTTTATTCTCATAATATTTCAACTTTATTCTCATACGACTTTATTCTCGTAATTTTATGACGTTTTTTTCCTCGTAATGTTATTTTTTTTTCTTAGCGTGGCCCTAATACTCCATCTTAAAAGTTTTACAGAACTAAAACTTAAAATAAAAACAACACATACACAAAGAAGAACCCAAGTGATAAGAACAGCCAAAGCTGTTTCATGTTAGCTTATTTGCGTGTTGGTTAGCATCAAGCTGTCTTACAGGTTTCTAAGCTGGCTGCTCATTTTATTAATAGGTGATTTCAAGACTTTGGTTCAACTGTAAACCCAAGAACAAGATGAACTCTCAGCTCTTGTGTCGGAATCTAAAGGTGTTTGAGGCTAACATGGTCTCTGAATACGCCTGCTGGCTAATTGGTTCACACTTAACGCCAAAAACAACAGTTTATGTCGACATGTCTGGCTTCTCTCAAAATGAAAGCTTTTAGTACTTGGACCAGATTTTAGTGCTGTCTGGCAAAAAACTGATCAGTTCGCTTTTAATAAATCCACATGGTTTTCACTAAAAATCAGATCTCATATCATACGACTGGGAGGTCCACAGATATAAACTCAAAGCTTTTGTTTCAGTGCAAAGTTTTAAGAAAAATGGGATTACTGCAACAATTAGAGAGATTTTCCATCAAAAAGTCTATCCTTTGGAAACTGAAATTACTACTTTATGGAGTCCGGATTATAACAATTTAGTGTCCAGAATTTGCCTTTTTTTTCTTCTTCAGCTTCAGAACAAAGCCAAGAACTACAATTTCCATTGACAAAACTGGCTTTACTTCAGTGAAGACACTCTCGACATTAAGGGTCCGAACTCCCTAAGAGGGCTGACAGGTCGGGAAATGAGCTAAAATTACATTCAGCTGAACAAATAAATTATCTTTTAAGGCTTCCCTCGCAGATAGTTTTCCCTCTTTATTTTCATACAGACCAATATTATCTAAGAAAGGAGCCCCGGTCTTTTGTTAAAACAAGTCGAAGCTTATGCAAGAGAAGAAATCATGAGACGATAAAATTTATTTTTATGGGGTCTTTAAAAAAAGGGGGATGGCAACTTCTGCTACCAAGTAACAACTATAAATGCGTCATATTGTGTGAGGGTAGGCGTGAACACTGGGTTTCAAACTGAAACTTTGGAAACCAGTCTACCTCCTCAGACCGCTGACTTACGCTCATGACTTTTTGAAACAGCGTGCCCCGGCATCGTTCGAATCTGCTGGGTGCAGTTACAGTAACGGCACGTCGAGCTGTTATTCACATCCAGCTAGTTCTCTGCAGGACACCCATAACGTGTGAGCAGCGGTTGCTATGAGATTTGTTTTCACAAAGCCACATTATTACAGTGTACCAGGTATGTTGGCGATGGAGAGAATAACCCTGATTGGACTCGAAACAACTGCCCCATGGCCAATTTTGTGGTCGAGGAAGCACAATGAATCACCGGTTCCTTCCCCATCCTCGTCGACTTGGTCAGCGTTCACACCTCCCACTCCAACAAGAGTGAGTTAGGGCGCCATTAGAGTCGAGGAATGAGAAGAATAAAGCTTCTTTTTTAAAGAACCGGAGAGGTCATTGCTCGGAGAAATCTGGGCGCAGTTTTATGATTCATTTAATCACCGATTCACTCATGGCCAGATCTTCAGTTTGAGTCATCTCTGAGAAAACACGTTGGATTTTAACAAAAAAAGGCTACTCTTAACACACGGGATGCTAAGAATTATAGCTGGAGAGCTGAATTACTGCCTTACCTTTTCACCCATGTCTCCCTTTTCACCCTGTGGAAAAAGAAAGCAGAGTATTAAAACACCGGACAGGTCAGGAGGAGGTGGTTTTCAGATCATATCTGGGGTTAAACTCATGCTGCGTTACAGGAATATGTTTGTTATGGCTCCTTTTACCCCAGTCATACATCCACATATCAACTTATCTCAAGTAAAAATGAGGCTCAGATTGGACTGATCCAAATTTACATTAATTTATTTTAATTGAGAGGTAATTTTATCACATTGAAACCAGTATCTCACTTGAATGAGACCAACTGTGAACAGCATCAGAGAGAGTTTCTAAAGTGTTTGGGAATATTCGAAAGGCTTCTGGACTTAGTTGCAGTCCCTCGTTTTCATGTTCTGGGATGTTGGAGATGTGACTGTTCTGCACTAGTCACACGTGTTGAAAACTTTGGTTGTGAGAAAGTCGTGCAAATGTATGGCACAATGGTAGGAATATTATGTGCATAACCTGAAAAATTTGAACCAAAATAAGAAAATTTGTGTAACTTTTGTGCGACAAACGCAAATATGTCCATTTACAATGATCCCATGTGAAAATTGGCTATTTTTTTAAAATTTATTATTGTTTTGTGTCTCCAACAGTTGAAGACCAGTGAGATACTGGTTTATTTTCACACAATGGAATTTTCATGCGTCATAAATATATAAATAACCATTTAGAGAAAAAAACAGGTAAAAATATCAAATTAAACACGACACAGACGAATGGTCAAATAGTGCAAAATGAAGTAAAAAAAAACAAACAAACATTTGTTTTAACCAATAAGGGATAAACAAAACCTGAAATGGTTTCACAGAATAACTTAAAATGCAATGATGGTGAATTTATTAAAAGCACTCAGAAAACGTGCTCCAGACCTTGGACCCTGGAATACCGTCCAGTCCTGGGATGCCAACATCCCCCTATTGACACACACAGTGGCTGCATTCAGTTAGCCGTTTAGGCAACAAGAACCAAAATTTATGACAGTATGAACATGACAAATTTGAGGTTTTTTTTCCACATGTGGCACTACATTTACTGGGTTGTGCAAAAAAGCTTCTTCCAGTTAAGGCAGAAAGCTAAGCTTAAGTCCATGTCGACCAGAAATGACCTTGAAAAAATGGTCCATGCATTCGTTACAACCCGACTAGACAACGTGCTTTATGCTGGGGTCAGTCTCTTTCACGTCTCCAGCTCATCCAAAATGCTGCAGCTCGGCTCTTAACAGGAACTCGTAGGTTTGAGCATACCGTTTTTTTCGGACTATAAGGGTTAGATATGATTCATTACTGTGCTATATGATATTTTACATGATACATTACGGTACTATATGATATTTTACATGATACATTATGTACTATATAATATTTGATATGATACATCATGTACTATATGATATTTGATATGATAC